AGCAGGAGCGGAGCCAGGTCCGCGGCCGGCCCTTCCGAGGGCGCGGTGGCAGCGCCGGCTCCCCGCGGGAAAAGCCGCCCTTTGGAAACGCCGCACCCGCAAAAGCTGCAAAGAGGAAATGTCGCCGCAGCCGCTGCTGGAGTTTGAACGGCACAAAGAAAAGCGGCGAAACAAATATAACGCGGCTTAACTTTCCCCGTGCGCTGTTGACGTAAATTCACAGAAGGAGATGAAATAAAGCTGCGCTCTGGAGCAGCGATAGACTTCAGAGCACCCGGACGGGAAATGCGGCACACAGGGATTTTTCCCCCGGACCCATAGGAAGGTCTTTAAACCCTGGGACAAACCAAAGGCAAATAAACAAAATAAACAAAACCCCCGGGCATGAATGCAGATCACCTTCTTCCACCCTCCCGAAATACCTCAAACTCGTACCTCTAACTAGGATCCTTCTGCAATAGTCCGGATCAGCCGAACTAGATTTACTTTTATTACAGTCTTCCGTAGCTGCAGAGGCAGAAAAAGTCCCTTGCTGATCCTTCAAAAAAGAAGTAGAAATATTTCCTTCAGACCCTTTGCTTTCCTTGACCTCTTTATGTCCATTCTTCGAGACCCGGTTAGCTTCAGTCTCTGAACTGCATCTAACGTCCATTTTGTCTTGTTTCCCAAACATGTAGTGCAATAAAAAACAAAAAAAGAAGAAGAAGAAGAAGAAGACGACGACGACGACGACGACGAAGTCTGTGCTGGATATTGCACGGTTTATGGTCAGGTCGGTGGGGATCTGTAAAGCACCTTGAGTAAAGGAGGTCGGGTTTTATCCCACTGGAAAAGCAGCGGCTTCCTCAGTCCCAGCGTCCTAATGTGACTGTCCAGCTTCCCAGAGCGCCCAGTGATCAGGTACTCAACAGTACAACTCTAAAATGATTTAATGTCTGCCTTATTACAGAGACATGTAGTTGTTAGACACACAGAGGGACGCGCACTCGCTGTTTCAATTGATTACGGGTAATTTTGCAGCCTCCACATTTAGGTTACCTCATGAATACACTAAATTGTTTGGATAATATATCAGATCGTAATGGATGGTTTGTGTGCTTGTCCCCAATCAAGTAGAGTTTAGCCAGTGAATAAACTGAAATGATTGGTCTTGCTTTCAGGAAACACACAATCAAAAGACTGAGACTTCAAAAAAAAAAAAAAAAAAAAAGAGAGAGAGAGAGAGAGAGAGAGAGAAAAGGGGGGGAGAAAGAAAAGAGGGGGGGGAAACTTTTGACAAGATTCACCCTGAATTGTTAGCACCATTAGCAGCCATTATTAACTTTCTTCACTACGCCTTTGACCTCCCGATTATATAGTGGCTTTCTCCAAAGCACGCCAAATAAATCTGAATAAAGCTGCCAGGAAGGGCTGGAAAAATGCAGTTGTAGGAGGAAAAAAACCGCCACTGAATTCTAAACAAACAAACAGATCTCCAGCATGCACGCATACAAAAAGTTCTTCCTTCAAGAAAATCTGTCCAAGGAGGTAGGGTATTTTGGCCAGCAGAAATCCTCCCTAACACATCTCCCCTCAGACAGCCATCTTAAACTCCTACCTCTCCTTATTTCAGCCCAGATACTTGCTTTTTGTGCCTCTCCCTCTGTGTGTGTGTGTATGTGCATGTGTGTGTGCTAATTCTGCACCTTCACAAACACTGAACCTATTCGCAAAGCCTGCTCATTGGGGAAAAAAAAAAAGCCAGCTTTGTGTGCAGTAGATCCAGGAGGGGGGAGAAAGAGAGAGGGGGAGAAGGGGGGGAGGGAGAGAGAGAGAGAGAGAGAGACCATGGAAAATCTCAACTACGAGATCCACTAACGGGGAAGAAAGTTTTACTCTAGCTATTTCATTGTCTCTGCTACAATATCTTTGAGAACTGCAACAGCCAGTAATCCAATAAGACCATTGATTAGGCTACAATGATTCAATTCAAGCAAATGGCCTTGTGCAAAGAGCATGCTCCAGTCCTTCTTGTCACCTTGCAGGGCAGAAGCCCTCTTCATGCTGCTCTCCTTATTCATTCCTTTATGGGAAACGTAGAGCAAAAGGAGTGAAAGATGGCAATTATCTAATTGGACTATTAACAAACAATTCTCTGAGTGTGGCTGTCTGGCAGTAGTTCTTGGGTGAGGTGAAAGGCCACATGTTGCACCGGCCCCATTCACAAAGAGTTTAGGGGCCTGAGAGAGAGAGAAAGAATTTTCCCTGAGAATTTTTCACACAAACCTTGGAGTATCCGTCAGGCATGCTCCTCTCTGCCTCATCCTCTGCCTGGTAGGGCTGCTGCCTGGGAATTTCACCCACCTGAAGCAGACTGGGGGAGCCATCCATGCGTCTCATTGCAGACTATGGCCGGTCAAAATCAGGATGCAGTGCCTTTCCCGGTACTGTGCACTGCAGCTGCTCAGCCCCACAGGACTCATTCTGCTCCGGTTTAAGGGATAACAGCCTTCACCTCACAGGACCTGCTCTTTGTCCAAGCCTGTGTATCCAAGTAAGGGATCCAGCACTGTGCATTAGGTGTAAATGGGGATTCCAAGGGGAAAAGAAAAGAAAAGAAAAGAAAAGAAAAGAAAAGAAAAGAAAAGAAAAGAAAAGAAAAGAAAAGAAAAGAAAAGAAAAGAAAAGAAAAGAAAAGAAAAGAAAAGAAAATAGAAGAATGCTGTTCAAAAACACATTTCAGAGAACTGATCTCTCAAATTCTGGTCACTTTCCCACAGATCACAAAAGGATTTATTTTTATTATTATCCTCTGAAAAGTCAACTTCAGGTTGAGAAGGTGCCCCTGAGTTCTTAATCACTCCCTGTACTTCCACATATGTTTAAATATATAACTGCCTGCACAATAATACGGACCTTCCCCCCGACCCCTTACAGCAACTGAAGCTCAGCAATCTCTGGTGGTCTGTTGTTATTAGTTACTACTTGTATGGCAGTCATACCCAGAGGCCCCAAATAAAGCACAGTCCCATTGTGCAAGGCTCCACACAGATACAGAGAGAGTGCAGAATGAGTACATTTCTTCCACAAATTTGCAATGTTGTGTGAAGGCCTGTTGCGTGAAGGGATGCTAATAAAACAGTACATTTAAGAGAGACTTGGTCATTTCAGGAGAGGTGCAAAAAGAGGATGGAGGCTAGGTAGAACATTTACATGTAGCTGAAGCTTGCAGTTAGCAAGCTTCATGTCTGTGATACACATAAATGTGTGTATGTGTGTGCGTGTGCGTGTGTGAGTTTGTATAGGCAAGGTAGTATCAACAGCCTTGGCTGGACATATTTGCTTAATGCTAAATAAAACAAAGTTCTATTTCAAACATTTGTATATAACAAATATTTTTTAGACTGAATAGGCATAATGATTCCCATAAAAGGTCTACTGTGAAACAGAAAGAGCAATTAAATTACATTTGTATAGGTGTGTGGGAGTATGTATGACATTTCTCCCCATGTTTTTCATTATGTTAATATCTGGGCATATATGCCATAATAATAAACATGCAGCTATTGAACTCAATGACACTATTTGAAGCAGAATATCTGATATTAAACATTATATTTGTGTGATAGCCCTCTGGCTTTTTTTGCAATGAGAACCTGATCCAAAGACCAGTCAAGTTCAGGAGAATTCTGTCTTATGTGTAGTGTCTTAGTGACAACATTACAAACCCCATTTTTTCCACAGAAATCAGTGTTATAAAAAGGCCTTCCCCTATTAGATCAGTTAAATTTGCTTTCACACATGATGAGCACATAGTACTACTGAGGATTTGGAAATTCAAATGATGAGTCTAATCCTGCAGCAAACTTGTGGTGAGCAGATGATTTCATCTCCATGCAGCTCAGTTACTTTAATTGAGGTCCACTCATCTGCAGCAAATAGCAAAATCCAGAACAGCATTTGGAATTCAAATATCTATGAGGTCAACATTTTCATTAGTCCAGTAATCAAAAAAGTTTCTTTCCTCCATTTTCATTTATTTTTTCACTAATACACTTAAAAGAAAACATTTTTGTGTGTTATGTTCTTTCAAGACCTGAAATAAGGGTCCTGACCCTTCCCTTCTTCCTGTCATAACTCCGGGGATCTCCACAGCTTCAGCACACTGAAATCGACACTGATGTGCCACTGCATAAGAAGATTTAGGGACAGACCCTGTTATCTCTTTTGCTTTGAAATAGTGTTTAAAAAGGACTTAGCACACTGCACGTGTACTCACTGATTGTGCTTTGTTATATATCTTGTTGCTTTTCAAATACAGTTTTATTCAGTTTGTATTAGTAATTGTTCTCAAAACCTTTTCTATATTAAAATATACACTTATTATAAAATTGCTTATGGTTTGAGGGAAAAAAAAGTGTGTTTCTCAGTGATTGTCACTATTTTCATTATTTTTATCCCTATTTGACAATATTTTACTCAATGGGTATGGAAAAAAACGTGATTGCTATTACTTCCTAAACTATCCTTTGTCAATGAATATTTTTGTCATGAGTGCTATTTAGGGGTCACATGATCAAGCTGATTGCTGCAGTCTGAAAATGATGCTAAGCCGTTATTGCGTCTCAGTGCATATGTCTGACGTTAAAAGATTCAGCAAAATGATTCTGTGTTTACTTTACTTAATTTACTATATAGCATGAATTTCTATCCAAATAATATTTCTTAAGAGTTTAACCTTTTGTCCACTTGAAGAGTCTGGTATTGCCCTCCTTTGCCATCGCCGCACTGCAGAGTCATCCTAATAGATTTTTCTGTAGTGGGAGTTCACACACCTCAGCTGAAGAGGATAATGGAGCCTGCCCAGCACTCACAAGGACTTTAAAAAGGTAGGTTAGGCTAAATATCTAATAACTCAGAATGCCTTCTGTGATAGGAACCCATTACTGGTCAGTATGGGAGAGTGTAAGAAGAGAAGTATTCCCCCAGCACCTACCCAGCTCTGAGCCAAAAATCCATGGCTCAGAGATCTTCTGAGTCAGAAGAGGTGTCTCTATGTTTAATGGCCCTAAATAGATTTTTCTTCCATTGATTTGCCTAATCAGTTTTGATTCATGCTATTTGCTTTCAAACTTCCAGATACATTTGCAAACGGTTGGCTACTAGGCAAATTTTTGGGATGCACGTTCAGCACAAGGGAAGTGAACTGGTACCTTGGGCTTTAAACACTTTCCTGGTTATTTCCAATTAATAGAAAATATGGTAGAGTTATCCGTAATGATATGTATGTATTCAAGTGTCAAGGACTTTCCTGTCCCACTTCCAACACCCTTGATCACTGTGAAAGGCAAATGAAGGAGAAACAGAAAAAAAACCCTCCCCTAATTACTAGTGTACACACACTGTTTTTAGTGGACAGGAACTTTACCCCCAGTGTGAGTGACACTTTCTGCTGAGAAGATTGTCTTCATGAAGGCAAGAGCTTCACCAGAAGCTTATTCTTCTTGCATATAAGTTCCGGGGCTATGCTGATCATCATGAACTCTGAGCGACTTCCTGAATCACATTGCACAGCATAATTAACAGCTCTGTTGTTTCTGCACACATTGTTCTTCCCGTTCCCAGGAAGGAAATTGCCATACAATTTAAGCTGTACTCTGGAAATGTCAGCATAGACATAGTACTGTGCATTCAGGGGATATGTAAGAGGAAG